CCCTACAAGTATTTGCTTAGAAATAAATTTTCATTAAAATACGTTCTTTGTATTATGTTTACTAGTAGTTTGCGTTAAACCCCAACTAATGTTTGTGTAAAATGGAACAGTCCTTGACATTCTCAGTTTATTTTGTTTAATATGTCTGTATAGTTGAAAACCTGAATTAAGTGGCAGCTGAAATAATATGAAAAATGTCCCTTTTACCCTTTGAAAAAAGCAGTGCCGTATTTGTAACCATAGTGTTAGTAAGGTTAATAATGGTGAATGAACATTGCATTATTATTTTTAAATGCTTGCCTGACTATAGTTATAAAATGCCAGGTATTTTTAATGTGCATTTGAGATTATGGGAAAATAGAGATGTACACCCAGTAATGTAAGGTAAGGATATATATTTTTTCTTCCAGAATTGGACAGTCTGGCTCTAGTTTTTAAATGACTACGCCAACAAAAATTTCAGTCCTTTCTAAAAAGAAGGAAAATATCCCGAAGTACTTTATTCAAACAAAGCCTTGTTATGTTCCTAAAAACAAAGCAGCATTACACTTTGAAGGGGTATCTTGTAGAAAAGTGCACACTTGTTATTCTGTGGCTGAGTGTCTGGCATTTCTTTTCCTGGGTAGAGCTGTCCCAGCCCTCGGCAGAGCATCTGGCCTGCCAAGCAGAGCTGAGGAGAGTGGAACATTCCAAGAAGCTGGTGCTGGAGGAGTCTGAAAGTCGTAGGCAGATCCTGGAAAAGCAGCTACAAAGTGAGGTAAATTACTCTTTCTGAATACTTTGAATCCTTTCTTCTTCCTGTCATCTTGTTCACATTTCTCTATGTACCTGTGCAGGCCCTGTAGTGGGTAGGTGTAGGGATTGTTTGTGTTCTGCTTAATTTTCTGTAGGCAACTCTGAAGAAAACAAATCAAAACAATACTAAAGAATTCCCAACACACAAAAAAAAAACCCAAACCAACTTAACCAAAGTAAATCTTTCCAAGTCATGAAGTTGTCAGCACTGATTTTCAGTAAGATACTATGTATATGTAGTTTGACTGGACTTGATAAACATTTAGAAACAAGTATTCAGCCAATTGAGATTACTCTGTTTGACTTAGGCTAGGGTTTGTTTTTCTCTCCATCTCCTCTAGGTTGAGCGTTGTGCCCAGTTAAAAACTCAACTGCTGGACTATGAAGCTACTGTCAGGAAGTTAAATGTGCAGGTTGAAGAACTGAAAGTGCAGTTGAAACAAACACAGGCAGGTTTGTATCTTATACCAGAGCAGTCCTTTGTGAAGTTCACTTATCTAACCTGTGTAAGAACTTCCAGCAGCTTAAAAAAGCTGCAGTTGCATAGAACTAATATACCACCAGTTAGTAGAATTCAAGTTTAAAATAACAATCTATTAAAAAGCCCAATTTAAAATGCAGACTCATTACAACTTTCTTTCAGAAAACAAACAAACAAAAAAAAGAGGAAAAAAAAAAAACACCAAAAAAAACCCCAACAAAACACAAAGGAGGAAAGGAAAAGATTCCTCCCTGAACACTTACATGTTTTTGTTGCCTGTTTTCCCTGAGTATGAAGACGGTGATACTTGGTGATAACATAATCACTGTTTTCCAAGAGGCGAGATGTGTTTTAATGCGTTTTGATTCTTGAATGTTCACAATAAGAATAATCTTATTTTGAAATTTAATTGTGTACCTCACAAATTTAAATCTAACTTTTAAACAGTTGTTGTCAAGGCTAATAACTTAGGCACTTTGTGTGGGCATTAGAAGGAGAGAAGCACTTGGGTAAAGTAGTTCTGTCTGCTGAAGAAATGTAGTTCTAAAGATTCCTCTCTGTCAAATTGCTAATATCAAGTGTGATAAATATAAATTTTTGGATGTATTTTTAATATAAAAATATGGAATTTACTTCTGCAATGATTCTACATTACATACAGCATGTGTGGCACCATAGTTCAGTATATGCAATACTTTATATTATTCACTAGACCAATATGTACATTTTCATATGTGGTACAAGTATTGGTACCATTTGGAATTGGAATTTTTTTACTGTTAAACTAGCAAATATATATTTTGATTAAAAGACTGAGGGTAATGCAGAGACTTGTATTTTCCATCAGGGTTAAGGATGTCATTGAAGAACCATTTATGTAGAATAAAACCAAGGCTGTGGTTTTGCTGAGAAAGATAGTCCTATAGAGTGGTCTTTTGGGCTTACTAAAGCATACAAGTGCAAGCCAGGAAGCAGAGAGCCCCAAAACATTCAATTTAATAGGCAGTTTTTGAGTACTATTTTTTTTTTTTTAATCTATGTGCTATGTTGTTTTTCTTCAAATTTTATTTTTTTATCTAAATAGAAAGAAACTGAAACAGCATAATTGGATAGAATGTGTCCAAAGTGGTGATGTTATAATTTTTAATTGTTTATTTAAACATCATTTAAGAAATAACATTGTAGTGTGCATGCTTCATGTAGTTTTACATAGAAGGATTATATATTAAAAAATAATGTCAATGATAGTTTGCAGCTATGCAGCTACATTAAAAATACATTTAAAGCAATGTATTCAATTCTCAAAATTTAATTCCATGGTAAAAGTATTTTCATCAAATTGGAATTTAAATGCTGCTTTACTGTTTCTGATGTGTTATGAGCCTCCCCCTCTCACTCTTAACTGTCACTCACCTTTTCTTGCCATCCTCAGCCCTGGAAAATGAAGTGTACCGGAACCCAAAGCCTTCGCTTGTCGATCGCTCTGTCCTGGACCTCACTGGTGACAGAATTGTGCCTCAGGACATCTACCTGGACGGCACGTTCCTGAAGCCTCAGGCTGGGACCGATGTGCTGAAGGTAAATGCTGTGCCAAGAGCTGGCTATCGTCAGCAGTTACAGCCATGCAGTGCTTCTCCAGATTCTGACCTGGAGTGTCTGGCGCAAATCTGGGATAGACTGAAAGAACTGGACAGAGAGTCAGAGTATCTGGGGGAAGCCTACAGGAACTACCAGCACAGAGTCATGCAGGACGTGGCTGCAAGCAGGACGCCAAGAAAGCTGCAGTCTCCTTTACTGCTACAGTGTGCTGTTAATAGATCCCCCTTGACTACCCAGCATGAACTTCTAGAGGATAATCCCAGCTCCCAGCAGTCCCCCCTGAGCAGTCCAAGAAGTGAAAAATACATCAAAAGGACAGAGCAGGTTGATGTCTTTAAAAGTCCCTTAACACCTCCACACAGAGGAGCATCTTCTTCAAGACGCCTTTCTTCTACCCCCATTTCCAAATTGGAAAGAGATCTCAGCAACAAGAAAATTTCAGATGGTAAGTCACAATTGTTAATGTGGTGTGATATTTGGGTTTTACTTACTGTTCCTCTTACACTGTAGGAAGAGAAAGAGCTAGCAGCAGTAGTCTCTCACTCCTTTGTTATTTGCTAAGAGGCAGGAGAAGTCAGAGACAAAGTATTCTAGCTGCCTGGAGTATTGCTGCTTCATGGAAACAGCTACTGGAGAAGTACACTGAAGGAGGCTAAACATACTGCACTTAGTTCAGGTAGCTTTAAGAAGAAGACTACAGGAGATAATTCCCTACAGGTGTAACCTTAAGAAATGTAGAATTTCATTCAGAGGTTCCTATTAAGTATAACTACTTTGCAACATTAATTGTAATTTCTTAGTTTTAATAACCCTCCCTCTGTATTCCTATCCTTTCATGTAGCTATTGTAGTTAAAGTGTACAGCTGAAGACTCCTTCATCTGGCTTCTCTTATGCTGAGTTTTCCAGCCTGAAAGGTCCCAGTTTGCTTTTGTTTGTTCCTTTTGCTGTGATATCTTTATCAAATATTCCTGAGCAGTTGTGAGGTGGAGGGGATTAGAGTTTGGTCATGATCAGAAAATTGTAATTTACTATCAGTTTCACAGTTTCTAATAATTACATAGGGTTTTTTGTGGGTCTAGGTTTGTTGTTTTTTTTTTTTTTTTTTTAAGGGGCAGTACTCAGAAAAGCAAGCAAAATAGAAAAGAATTGAAAATTTTAAAAAATTATGTTCTTTTAAATCTACAGTACATCTACTTCTTGAGTCATGCAATTCTTGTCACCTTAGCTCAAAGAGGATTTGATAGGATAAAAAAAAAAGATAGTAACAAAAAAAAGATCATGATCAGCTTCTATGTGAAGGAAGGTTGGATATAAGAAGGGCAGCACAGTTTGGAAAAGGGTTGGCTGAGGTGGACTATGGGAAACCTGGAAAACAGTGAGTGATGTGGAGAAGGTAGAGAGAGATCAATGAATCACTGCTTCGCAGACCCCAGAATCCTATGGAATTGAAAGGAAAGAGAGGGAAGTGCTTTTTCATACCATGAGTAAATTGCAGAATTTATTGCTTGTGTGGCAACAAGTACAGATGCAGGAATAAAACTTCCTTGTCAGAAGGACCCAAAGAAAGTGCTGGGGAAAGGTCGGGGTGGGTGTTGCCAGAAGTGAGATGTAATTATTCGCCTTTTTGAATTGTAGATTAGTTTAGCAATGGGCACTGATAGAAACAGGTTACAAACAGTCTGATCTATTGTGGCTCTGACTGTGTTGCTGCATTTAGAATATTATGCTGTTACTGAAAACACGTTTGAAAACTTGAACTTCCAAAGTAGTTTTTTATGTTCTGTTTTCCCTGTCAGGTTCTATGTAAAGTATGGGGTTTCCCTCTTCCTTTAAATTGGCTCATATATTTGACTGCTTTCGTTCTCAAGCTCATGCCTGTTGGATAATTTCCAAGCTTTGATTTTCTACAGGGAAGGAGTAAACCCATTTCTTTAAGAGTAACTAAAAGTAGGACAGGATCTTTTCTCTTTGCCCATTCTTACTGTCTCCAGTCTCTGGATGGTAACATGGATCAAGGAATAATTACTGAGAAAAAAATTTGGATTGCCATCTGACCCATGCTCCCTGTGACTTGATCAGTACTTTTCACCTTGACCATCCCTTGCTCAAACTTCTTCCCTTCTGATGAGAAGGAGCAAGGCTGGCGAGTGTTGCACACAGCACACTGTGAGCCAAAACCTCAGCTGTTTGTCTTTTAGTAGAAAACAAATAAGTTCAATCCTAGATAATTTCCAAGTAGTAGTGGGTTGCAGTGACCCTGGTGTGCCACCTGTGTCCTGGCAGGCAGCATGTGTTATGCTGAGGAGGTGCACCTTGTAAGGACGACGTGTGCTGCTCTTGTCCATCTGTTCTGCATGTGAAAATTTGACAGGTTGTTTTATAAGAGATGGGATGTGGCTGGACTAAGAGTTCCCACCACAAACAGGTACTGCTGACACACAAGGATGACATAACTGCTGGGTCCTGGGAGTGCTCAGCTTCTTCAGAGGGTATTCATCTGTGTTGCATGGGGAGAGGGGCTCTCTGGAGATAAAAATCCGTGGGCAACCCCTACTCTGAAGCATCCTGACTTCTGCAGTGTGATGTGCACCAGGAATGAGGCACGTTTCTACATGACCACTTGAAAGAACTTCAGGTGAGGGAGTGTTAATAATGGCTTCTTGTCTATCACCTGAGCCAAATTAGCACTGACTATAGTAAAAGTTATTTGGTTAATAAAGAGAAGAAAATCAGCAAGTACCTACTTACTGAGTGAATATTGTATCTTGTGGAAAAAATAATAATTCATGGTCTAGTAATGAAAGACCTGTGCAGCTGCGCAGGAAATGAAAATTAAGGTGGCAAAGCAAAATTTAACCAAAGCACTGGTCTTTGCACATTTGATTAAAAGCCTTTTTAACACAGGGAGTTTGATTTTTACCTCGGTTTCTCAGGAAACTCAAGACTTCTCTAGTCATACTGTTTGTCTCTTTCCTTCCCTGGTAATTTATAGCTGTGATGATAAAATCTTCAAAGATTTTCTTTTTTGCTTCATCGCCCAGCTCCAGGTTAAATTTCCTAATGAAGAATGGCCTTTGGGAGACCTCAAACATTAATCTTGTGCTGGCTAGTAGCACATCTCTAGCTTGAAATTTGGGTCCACAACTGCTTCCTCTAATGCTCAGCATGGGAGAAATTATTTGGTGTTTGGCAGAGGGGCTGCAGTTCATGGGCAATGTGGATGTATTATGGGATGATGATTATCCTAGGCTTTGTGTGGAATAAGTTTATGATGGTGAGGGCTTGTAGAGGAAAATTCCCGTACAGAAGAGGTGAAAAGAAAAGAAAAAAAAAAAAAAAAGGCAAAAAAAGCCCCCCCCCCCCCAAAAAAAAAAAAACTAAAATCAAAAAAAGAAAGAAAGAAAGAAAGAAAGAACGAACCAGTAGAAGACAATTCATGTGAAGATCTGGAGGCTAGGACATTAGTTGCCTTACGTGATGGTGCATGCGGAGTCCAGTTATGCATGTGTTGTAAAAAACAGCCTTGCCTGAGACATGGTAGGACAAATAACTGAGTAATACTGATTGTGGGATTTTTATTCTGCAGATATGAGTGGCTCATACCTTGCCTCCTCACAGCAGAGTGTTGACCAGGTGCTTTCTCCTATTTCAAAGCCACATCTGCTTTCATTATCTGAGTCTGTTTCTTCTTCACCATCCAGTCATGGCCAGAAAACCAGGTAACATTGTTTACAAAGCAACATTTTTAACCTTCTTTTTAAAGAAAAATTTATCTTGCTGTTTGTGGCAATAGCTACTTTTACAATTCCAGTAAGTGTTAATTTCCTGAGAACTTTTCTAAAAATAGATAAGGATTCCCGTTCTTGAATATCGTATCTCAAGAGGAACTTAGTCATAAAAAAATGCAAACACCTTCCTCCTCCCACGTGCAAGCACCTTTGGCAAATATGATTTGACATTTTTACCTCTGCTAAATTTGTGCTTCCTTACAGAGCAAAGTTATGTGCAGTAAAAAACTTAACCCTCAAGCTCGTTGGGAACTTGAGGTGACATCCCTGCTTTTGCTCTGCTTTGCTTTTCTACTTCTGTTGCATCATTGTTCTGACCAACTTCTGAAAGCAAGGCATGGTGGGGAGTCTCCATTTCAAGAGAGCTGCAAGTTCTGCAGTGCTTGAAATCTGTTTTATCAGTGCAACCTTTTTGTTCCATCGTATTTCCTTACCCAGCATACCACTTTCAGACAGCTGAATGAAAGATTGTTAATAAAGAAATACTCCATTAATCACTATTTTCAGAAAGCATGTTTTCTAGAAGTTTCCTAAAAATGTAAAATCTGTTGCTGAAAGTAAATCTGAGTTAAACAGCCACTGACTTGCATGCCTATGTATAATACCTATGAAAAACTCTTATTTTTTAAACATGTGAGAAATGTATGCATATGTCCAACCTATTTCTGACTTTTTCCAACTTCGGGCCTTATTGATAATTTATAAATTTTGACTGTGTATTTTTGAGTAAGAATAATGTCTGTACTGAGGTTGCAAAAGGGAATGTGAAGGAATGACTTGATGTGTCTTACAACAATCTTACAAGGCATCTTCCCCTCATAGGAATTACCTGAATGTGAACATATTTTTAGCAGTTTGCTGTCATTAATGCTTTTGGGGTTTGACAGTTTTGATCCTTCTAGTAGGCTTCTGTGCCATCCATATCAATGTGATCCTGATATGGCTGACAAGAACTCTTGATGATGATATAGACTAATTTGAGAACAAACTTCATTTCAAAAGACAAAGCTGAGTCTTTAGAAGGGTAAACTACATTTTTCTTTGATTTGAAACTTTTTCAAGAAAAAATTACAAACTCAATAGTGCAAAGCAGTAATCATCTCTCACCTTTCCTATATCAGAACTTATGTTCAAAAGCTATTGAGTTATATTTGATACACACAAAAACCCTTAATAAAAGAAAGGCCACTAACTTCTTGAGCAAAGCTACATCTCTTAATGTGTTTGTTTTTCACATTTGTGACCTGACTGATGAACTTCTGCTGATGGAAGCTTGATAGTTTCTGCTGCCTGTTTGAGAATTTAAAAGGCAGTTGTACATTCTCATCTCAGTCATTAACAAGATGTAATGCCAATGTTTATTTTTTGTCTCCAAAGAGCTTTTTCATGTGCCTGTATAACTTTTCAGAATAGGAATCTCCAGTTTCCTTTGTGGGAACGGGATGGGTCCCAGAACTTTTCTCTTTTTCCTTGCTTTTGTTTTTTTTTTTTAAGATCTCTTTTAAGTAAATTAATAACTTGGCAAAATTAAGCTACATAAAAAATACTTCTCTTTCCTGTCTGTATCTCCTACTTCCACATACTAAATTCTTATGTTCTTCATGATCACTGGTGCTTTCACTCTCCAAAACTGAGAATCCTGAAAAGGTGTCTTCAGAAAAAGGTCGAGTATTTAAAGTTTCTTTCCTAAGAAGGGACACTTGAGTTGGCCTTAACCTGCCAGCCATCATTCCAGATTTGATGGCTGAAGAAAGACAGCTTGTCTCAAGGCAGGTCTAGCAGGCATTTGTAGGGCCTTCCTGTATGTTGAGGACTTGATAAAACCAAAATACTTAATGTAGAGAGGATCTCTTTTGTGGTTAGAATTTGGGGAGAGCCTGTATGTTCTTGGTCTTGAAGCTGTTCGGATGTCTAGGGACTGTGAGGTTAGTTCCTCTGTAAGTCACTATCTCTTTACCTGCTTATTCCCCTTTTCTACAGTATGTCTCAGATTTGCAGTATTCCAGTGACAGACTTGACAAAGTGAAGGCTGACTGTGCACCTGCATGTGCAGGTGATGTGGGAAAATGCAGTACTGCTGTGAGGGACTGTGCTGCTCAGAAGGGTGTTGTGGAGTCCACCTGCCTGAAGAGTGAGCAGCCCGAGCAGGTTGTGTTGTGGAGAACAGGCCCTGAGCTAGGCAGGCAGCTTTCTTGGGTTCCTCGTGACAAAGCAAGGCTATAAGGTCCCATTAATTTTCTTGAACTTGCTGCTTTCCCAGGACTTTTTTAAAGGGAAAACATTCTTTTGTTGAGTTTTTTTAATTTCTTGTGCTTTGGACTGCTCTCTGTTACAAATATTTGAGAAATGCATGTGTGGGCTTTTCCAATTATTTACTCTCATTATTAGGCAAATTCCACATCATTGATTTGTATTGTGGAATTAGTTTATGGCCTGTAGATATTAAGTGGCAATGGGAACTTCTTTGAAAAGAAAATAAAATACAATGCTGTGACACCAGTAAGCCGTTGCAAGTTAGATCCCTGTCAGTGGGGAAGAACAATTGCTTCTGTGACTACAGGAGCTCATTGTTTATTTATGTTTGAGGATACCAGTGGTATGAAGGAAGCCAATAAACACAGACAGGAAGACTAGATTATAAGGCAAATTATTATCTAAACCATTCTTTTTTGTTGTTGTTTTGTTTAGGGCTGAAGAAACCAATTGTGAGGATTATTTTAGGCTAAAAAAAGTAATTTAAGACATTATCAAAGTAGTTTAGAACCTGGTGGTGTTTTTTTTTTGTTGTTGTTTAATTGTGATTCTAAGCATAACTCCTGCAATTTAATAATTTGATATTGATTGGGACACCAGTAAGATTTTATAGTTATTGACACAAGGTACAGTCTGGGGTTTGGTTGCCAGCTCTGCATGATGGAATGAATTTTGAAAACTGTTTTGAAATATGTGTGTTTATTCGTCTTCATGAGGCCTCTTCAGCTTTCTGAGTCTGAGGCAGTGTATTGACTGTTTTTTTAGCAGTGTTGCAGGAAACATTATCAAAGAAAGTGCCATGCGTGTCCTTGAGCTGTGCATCCTTAAGAATTATTTAACACTTAACCATTTCTGTGAAGGAAAGACTAAACATGACTTCCAAAGACTTCCAGAAACTTGAGATTCCATTTACTCTGTCATATTTCATTTACAGGGTATTTTTTTCTCACTGATGTTACTGAGCTATCCTTCTGTCAGTGGACATTTATTTGTCCCCAGATTTACATTTTCCTACTGAACAGGAAATTCTCATTGTAGGGGTATGATTTGTTTATTCTTCACTTCTTCCCACAGAAGATCTGAATTCCTTAGAAATCACCACGGCAGAAACAGGTTTGTGCTTACGAAGAGCACCAGCTGGTGTGAAGTAAGCTCCTTTGTGAAGCTCTGCTGCTGGATTTCATTAGTGACCTGCACTCCTTTTGCTGTTCTGGTTTTGGTCAAAGTTTAGGAGCTAGGTCACGTGGGAGATATTGTTCTTACACATTATCTTTCTGATGAGATAAACGGGGATTTAAAATGAGGGCACTAACCCCATTTTTCGTAGGACCCAGATTTTCACCCCCTGCATATACGTTTTGCCAGACAGCTAATCCTAACACATTTCAAACACATCTGTTAAGGTGACATCAAAGTGGGAATTAGACTGTTACACAGAGCTGAAAAGGGCAAGTTTTTAATGGCAGTTGACTAAGTGTCACAATTCATTGTATTTTTCCTTTTATTTTTTTTCTCCTTACTCCTTTTTAAGCTTTTTGAGATTGTATTTTGTTTCAGTGTGTGGTTATGTCATATATAGGCCTTGGGGGAAGGCTTCAGGGAGATGGCTGTCCAAGACATGGAGCTGATTTTTGGTAAAAGTTAGAGAACTGGATTTAAGTGCCTTAACTTTTGAGTCAGAAAGTTACAGCATTTTAGTTGCGTGATTTTTACATTTGATTTAATCTGTTGCTAAGCACGTGAGTAATCCTTGCATTTAAAACTCCAGATTGCTATTTGCTTAAAAGTTTAGCATTTATATTTACTAAATTATTTATGTTCTTCCTTATGCTTTCAGACTTCATAACCAAGGAACGGACAAACCAGATTTCAGTGATATCCCCAAACCAGAGAAACTAACGTGTGAAGACCTTGAAGAACATATTTCTTCCCTTGAGTGTAAGTTTTAGTGTATTTTAGACAGTTTGTTTAACACTTTAGGATGCAGTAGTTGTAAGACAATTGTCTTGATAGTTTGAATACTGTAGTTGGAGAGAAAAAATGCTGACTGATGTTGGAAATGAGAGAAACTGTCTCAGATGATGAGGGGTCCGTTTTCTTCACATTTGCATCTTTAGAGGAGTAGGGTATCTCATAATAATTAGATACTAAAATCAAGTTGGTTCTTGAAGTTTGGGAACGTACCTTTTGTTCAGAAATCCTGTGTAACCTTGTTCTCGTTAATGGACATAGGCCTGACTGTTGTTTCAGAATTTCTTAAAATTGTGTAGCTTTTTTTTTTTTTTTAACACAGCAAAGACTATGAACTAACTGTAGGCTCTATTATATGTTTGCTGCATAAAGTAAAACTCTAAGAAGTGTTCATCATGGACCAATATCAGAGCAGTTGTACCAAGTTTAATTTTGAAGATAAATTTCTGCAGCCATTAGATATATTCTTCTTGATTTTTCCTGCAGTACCTGAGGCTTAAACTGTACTGTGAATTAGAAGTAACTTTAGAGGTGTGTGTAAATGTGCAAAGAACACTTGTAACTATGTTGTCATTATTCAGCATCTCAGAGAAGTTTTGGAATGTATGGTTCAGTTCCTGGAACATGCATGTTATAGTAATATTTTTTTTCTCTGAGGCCAGCATTTTATTTGTATACATTGCTGCTCTGTGTTGATTGCAGAAGGAACTTTGTCCTTCTATGCTGTTTGCCTTGGGTGCTATACAATGTTTCCTTCTCTCTATATGCAGCCTTATCTCCCCTGAACCTGTGGGTTTAAAGTGAGTGAAATTGTCAGTAAGAAAGATGTGAACAGCAAGGTAAACACCACTCCCATTTCCAAATTTTGTTAGGTCTTTAAAGGGTGGAGACTGGTGGAGATATGTCATTGAGTGGTATAATTAAATTCACAGTTGGTGAAGAGATTATAATTATTGTATGGGAGAGTTAGGATCACTGGTTTCAAAGAAGATATTCCTAACTGGTGTGTTCTTATTCTTTTGGTCGTGGTTGAGGCACGGAGGATGGAGTGATGCCTTTGCTCACTCTCCTGAATCTGTGAGAATGTGGCCTTCAGTATTTTAAAAACCAACAAACCCAAAAAGGCACCGTTTGTTTAAACAGCAAACCTGCTGATAGTGTTTAGTGGTCATTAGCAGAAGCTGATGACTCATTATGCATTTCTCTGTGCAGTTTTACTCAGTACATTTGTTGGTTTTTAATTGATCTCATTTAGTTTTCTTTTTACAAGCTTCAAATGCATTATCTGAATGTGAAGTGAGCCTGTAGGCACTAGCAGTTTCTACTCCTCTCATATTTTAATAAGATCTAGATTTGTTTAATTTTGCATTTAGAGACTCTTAGGAATACATTACGTATTTCACTTTTCTTCTATAGCTTCTGAGAATAGACAGGCATTTTTTTGGCAGTAAGGCCTGACTAGATGCTGTGCCCAAATAAGTTCCCACTGTATCATTCAGTGACATGTAGTAGTCAAAAAATAATTTAAAGCGTTTGCATATGCTGATGATTTGTCCATCAACAGTTTGGTCAGACTGCATCAGAAGACAACCTCAGTATGTAGAGAGAAATCTGAATGGCTAAAGAGGGGAGAAGATAACCCAGGAGGAATTGTGTGGGGAATAAAATGTAAAATCTAAGAAGTAAATGTAGAATAAGGTATGGTGAAGGAAGAAGCTGATAAGAGTAGAAAAAACAAGTGGAGTGAAAGAGGTGCCAGAAATCGTAGAAGCCTTTTGTTCCTACCATGAGTGCTCTAGCAAGAGAAGGCAGGTATTTCTGCTGGTAGTAATTGCTTTTAGTTGATGTGCTCATCCTAAGGAAACAATGCACCTTCTGCTGTCCACATTTATACAAGGGTGTGAAGGTGGGCAAAGAGCCTTACCTCTTTTCCTTTGCAGAGTGGTTAATGTAAAAATGTTTTGGACTGTACTGTTTTGGGTTTGGGATTTTTTTTGTTTGTGTGGTTCGCAGACATGCAGCTTGGGCAAC